ATTTACAAGTACTGTTTTTTTCTTATTGCTTATAGCCATATCTAACTTGCTGTTTCTTAGTATTTGTTTCGCATTTATCAATAAATTACTATCAAGTACTAGTTATCCCTCAGACATTTTTCAACATTCATCAATTGTTCTTCCAGTTTATCGGTAGTATGTATCATTGTTAATACAATAAAATAATGTTTTCTCATAACTGATTAAATCAAAATTGCTGAAATTCAAGTGTAGACGATACTTGGTACTTTCTCGATAGATCTAGCGTTAAATTGTTCCATCTATTCATTTTATGTTATATATTTTTTTCTGTATGGATCTCCACAGTAATCAGTTATTCTGTAGTTTTGGTATCTCTTCACCTGTGGATTACGTAATTATCCCAAATTCTCAATGCAATCAATGCTCTACTATACAGTTCACATAGTTTCAAGCAATCGACTGTCAATTATAACATAAGTATTGTCTGTGATATCCCTCACCTTGAAATTTTAGAATTTTTTCGACATTATCACATTAAAATGACCATATCCGAACTACGGCAAAACAATAATACAATTGATTTTTTACAATGTAAGGACAATTTTCGTCCATCACTGGTGTTAATGTCAAAAAATAAGAATTTTGGTTACTGAATAGTTTTTTTTACGATAGATTTAAGGCCTGTAAGGGTATAAACAATTGAGTTACAAACTAGGGCAGAACAGCTTTAAATCATGTTCCAACTGTTATTCCAGTTAGTTCTCGACGAAGAAGACTATCAAACAGATTAATTACTCCGTGAACTACAGAGATATATGAACGATGGAATAAAAATGTTCTGGAAATTTTTTTAATAAAATATCAATTTACCTACTGAATCGCACTTCAGTAGTTTGATTAACTAGCTAAAACTTACTGGCCAACACCAATATAACTTTAATAATAAATAATGTGAAAAACAACATCTGGTGAAAAGAAAATATTTATTTACCCTAGTTATTGCATGTTACACTTCATTTAAGTTCAATGTCAGTTTCTTTGAGCATAAATAACTTCATTTATATTTATCTATTACATACACGCATACATATTTAATTTCTACAATTCATTGCATTCATCACACTCCTAAATCATCCTTTGATGAATACTGGTAATGTGATGTAGACACTTCTATTACAATAGAAATCGTAAGATATTATAATCATATGACAAGTATCTATCACTCTTTTCTTTTTAATTCTTCCGGGGGGGAAAAAATACGAAAACTAATTATCTATATTCTCACGCATCAGCATTATAAATCCCCAACACATACATACATACACATATATATACATAAACACATATATATATACATACACTTATACATACATACACACATAAATCAGTATTATATAAAGGGGAAAGAAAAGAAAAGAACACAGATGGTTTATCTCAGTATACAATTTGTTTATTTATCCATTTAAACCAGTTTCAGAGAGGAAATAAGAAGAGGAAGAGGAAGAAGAAGAAAGAAAGAAAAAAGAAGAAGAAGAAAAGAAGTTTAAAACTATCAATTATGATAAAGACTTGGTCGAACATTAAAATTTCATCTACATCTATAAGAAGAAACTAGACGATAGATAAATGATAAAAAAGAAGAAAGAGGATTAAATAACAAAATGATTGCTCTATTCACAAAACAAAATCTATCTTATTAAAAGTAAATAAATAAATAAAAATCTTTTAATCAACTAATTTAGCAAATATCTATCTCTCAATAGTCTACTACAAAACTGTGAATGAATCAGCAATCTATAATTGTGTTTACCTCCATTGAGAGATTATAAAAAGAAAAAAAATAGGTGAAGTGATAAAAACACAATGCTCCCACCCCACCCCCACCAATTGGAGCTTCACTAATTTTTTTTCTTTATAAAAGGTTATATTGTGATGATCCATTCTTTATATATAAATAGAATATAATGATTTCTATATGTTTTATTTAAAGAAATGAATCATTAAATTTTGAATAAATTAAAAGGGAATATTCTAAGTAAAGATGGATAATGGCTACCAGTGAAATCCAGGATACGGGTTTCATCCGATTTGAGGCCTGTCAGCTAGATGTACCTACATCTCAGAGTTGATGTTCACTCTGAAATTTGAACCTAGTGCCGTTTGTTTCAAACGCCGTCGTGTTTTTTTTTTACTTAGTTACTGAGTCATATAATATACCCTTGTGGGCCAGGGTAATTTTACATTGGTTTTCAGGAGAACCAGACACCATCCAGACTTTCACGTAAAAACTCAAACAGCACAGCTCAACCCCGTTTAGCAGAGGAACCAGACACCGTACAGGCTTTAACGCTACAATCTGAATAGTACAGCTCAATCCTGTGGCGCAACCACACAGGTACCAAGCACGCCTGTAGCTCTTATGGGGTCACTGCCGGTCCCAAGCCCGGGTAAAGGAGGAGGGTTGGGCATGGGGTTAGCGTCCCTATCCCGTAGAAAACTAACTCGCTAAAAAAACGCTTACCAGAAAAAATAATCTAAACCATTTTAACTCTGCCCTGGGAGTTAGAAGGTTTTCATTTAGAAGAATTATGACGCTTCATGGTGAAAGCCGAGCTCTTTCGGAAGCCACGAGGCCGATGCCCCTTCTAACAACCAGAGCAAAAATTTTTATAGGTACATGGAACGTTCGAACAATGTGGGAAACCGGGAAGACCAGTCAAATAGCAATGGAAATGAGGAGATACAACTTAGCAGTACTGGGAATCAGCGAAACCCACTGGACCCAAGCTGGACAGAAAAGGCTAGCTATGGGAGAGATGCTGCTATACTCCGGTCACGAAGAGGAAAATGCTCCACACACTCAGGGAGTCGCTCTCATGCTGTCCAAAGTAGCACGAAATGCACTTGTAGGATGGGAATCTCATGGATCCAGAATCATCAAAGCATCATTCAAAACAAAGAGGGAGGGGATCTTAATGAATATTATCCAATGTTATGCACCCACCAATGATAGCAACGACGAAATTAAAGATCAGTTCTACGAGCGGCTGCAGTCAATCATTGAGAAATGCCCAAGAAAGGACCTAACTATTCTGATGGGAGATCTAAATGCCAAGGTCGGAATAGACAACACTGGATATGAAGATATTATGGGGCAACATGGACTGGGAGAAAGAAACGAAAATGGAGAAAGATTTGCAAATCTATGTGGATTCAACAAATTGGTCATTGGAGGCACAATATTTCCACACAAGCGTATACACAAGGCTACATTGATCTCACCGGACCACACTACAGAGAACCAAATAGATCATATTTGCATTAACAAAAAATTCCGAAGGACATTGGAAGATGTGAGAACCAGGAGAGGTGCTGACGTAGCTTCAGATCACCACCTAGTTGTAGCCAATTTAAAACTGAAGCTAAAAAAGAACTGGACAAGTGGACAAACAGTAGTACAAAGGTTCAATACAGCCTTCCTTCGAGATACTGTCAAACTCAATGAATTCAAGATAGCTCTCAACAACAGGTTCCAAGCCTTACAAGATCTACTGAAAGAAGAAGAAACTACTATGGAGGACAACTGGAAAGGCATCAAGGAAGCATTAACTTCAACGTGTCAAGTGGTTCTCAGTCTAAAGAAATACCATCATAAGGAATGGATCTCTACAGAAACACTGGACAAGATCAAAGAAAGGAAGAACAAGAAGGCAGCAATAAACAACAGCCGAACACGATCAGAGAAATTCCAAGCACAAGCTGAATACATAGAAGCAAACAAACAAGTAAAGAGGAGCATTAGAGCCGACAAGCAGAAATACGTGGAAGAACTAGCAACGACAGTGGAAAAAGCTACAAGAGAAGGAAATATGAAACAGCTCTACGATACAACGAAGAAACTAGCAGGGAAATACAGTAAACCAGAGAGGCCGGTCAAAGACAAGGAAGGCAGGCCAATCACCGAAATTCAACAACAACGTAACAGATGGGTAGAATACTTCGAGGAACTCCTGAATAGGCCGGCTCCAATGAATCCACCGGACATCGAAGCAGCACACACAGATCTTCCTATAGATGTCAACCCACCAACGACGGAAGAAATTAGAGCGGCCATCAGACAAATGAAGAACGTGAAAGCAGCAGGACCCGACAACATACCAGCTGAAGCACTGAAGTCAGACATCGAAGCAACCACAAGCATGCTTTATCTTCTATTCAAAAAGATTTGAGAGGAGGAACAAGTGCCGATGGACTGGAAGGAAGGACACCTCGTCAAGATTCCAAAGAAAGGAGATCTGAGCAAATGTGAAAACTACAGAGGCATTACACTACTGGCAATACCAGGGAAGGCCTTTAACAGAGTGTTGCTGAACCGGATAAAGGATGCAGTAGACGCCCAACTTCGAGATCAACAAGCTGGATTCCGTAAGGATCGATCGTGCACAGACCAAATTGCAACACTACGGATCATCGTTGAACAACCAGTTGAGTGGAACTCGTCACTGTACATAAACTTCATTGAATATGGAAAGGCATTTGACAGTGTAGATAGGAGAACGTTATGGAAACTTCTTCGACACTACGGAGTTCCTGAGAAGATTGTCAATATTATCCGGAACTCATACGACGGACTACAGTGCAAAGTAGTGCATGGAGGACAGCTGACAGATGCATTCCAAGTGAGGACCGGAGTCAGACAAGGCTGTCTACTCTCTCCCTTCCTCTTTCTTCTGGTGGTCGACTGGATTATGAAGACCTCGACATCTGAGGGATAACACGGCATACAATGGACAGCTCATAACCAATTAGACGATTTGGACTTCGCAGATGACCTGGCCCTCCTATCACGTACACACGAACAGATGCAGATGAAGACGGCCAGTGTAGCAGCAGTCTCTGCATCAGTAGGCCTCATCATACACAAAGGGAAAACCAAGGTCCTCAAATTCAACACGGAGAACAGCAATCCAATCACTCTTGATTGCGAAACTCTGGAAGATGTAGAATCCTTCACATACCTGGGAAGTATCATCGATGAACAAGGAGGTTCAGGTGCAAACGTAAAGGCGAGGATTGGCAAAGCAAGGGGCTCATTCCTACAATTGAAGAACATATGGAACTCAAAACAAATTTCAACCAATATCACAGTGAGAATCTTCAATACGAACGTCAAGACAGTTCTACTGTACGGAGCTGAAACTTGGGGAACTACAACAACCACCATCAAGAAGGTGCAAGTATTTATAAATAGCTGTCTACGCAAGATACTTAACATTAATTGGCCGGATACCATCAGCAACAGCCTTTTGTGGGAGAGAACAAACCAACTTCCAGCTGAAGAAGAAATTAGGAAAAGACGATGGAAATGGATAGGACATACATTACGCAAATCGTCAAACTGCATCACGAGGCAAGCCCTAACTTGGAATCCTGAAGGGAGGCGGAAAAGAGGAAGGCCAAAGAACACATTGCATCGGATAATAGAAGCAGATATGAAAAGGATGAATTACAACTGGACGGAGCTAGAAAGGATTGCCCAGGACAGGGTTGGATGGCGAATGCTGGTGAGCGGCCTATGCTCCTTCACGAGGAGTAACAGGCGTAAGTAAGTAAGTACTGAGTCATGATAGCCACTTGGTTGTGCAATGGGGTGAAGTTTAAATTCACTTGATATTGTTTATTTGAATTTTCTCATTGATGTGAGTAAACATCAACATTGAGATGCAGGTAGATTCAGCTGACGAGTTCCAAATAGGATGAAACGCACGTCCTGGATTCCATTGCTAGCCATTATCCATCTTTGCTTAAAAAAATTGTGACTTAAGGCCATATCGAGGCAATCCGCACAGGATGCACATATGCCAATAAGGTACTGATCAGTTGCAGTCCTAAACATCAATGGGAAGATTCAAGTAAACAATATCAAGTGAATTTAAACGGAATATTGCTTAACACTCAATAATCAATATTTTACTAATAAATACAGCCTACAAAGAATAAATACACTTAGTTTACATGGTTTATCTAACTAGTTCTTGCTTAAAAACATCTTTCCTTTGTTAAATGAATATACGTATCTAGGTCTTTTGTTCAAAAGGATCAACTTGATTAGCCATTATCCTTTTTCACTATGTTCTTCTGCATTGTTGACTTAATCTAACGTTAGATAAGTGAATACCAACTAGAAACAGGTCTATAAATTATAGTGTAGTGAACAATAACACCAGTGGGGACAACTAAATGAATCTGAATACAAAATTACAGAATCTGTTAATAAAATCCGAGAACTATAAAGTAAATACTTCATTTGAAAAATGTCAATTAATTGTCTCAAACTAGATTGTAACTTCATTTTCACATCAATCATTCTTTGTTCTTGTTTTCTCCTCTTCCATCTTCTTAACATTCTGCCACCAGGCATTTCACTTTCGATTGATGATATATGCTGCTTATATCTGTCGACATTAGTAGCACACACCACAATACCAGTATTAAGACTGATAGGTGCTGGGTTTAAATCTCATGAAGCGGGATTGTGGATGCACACTACTGAGGAGTTTCGTACTAGGACGAAACGGCCTTTCAGTGCTTCCAGGCTTTCCATGGTGGTCTAGCTTCAATTGACTCATGACCTCAACTACTGAAATTACTAAAACCTCCACAAAACCCCTTTTTCCAAGAAAAAGTTATTTTCCTGTTTACTTCACATTTTTTTGAAAAAAAACAAAATAAAAAACTTCATGGTCGAAGTGTAATTTATTCTCAGAGCAAACTTTTATCTAAACTCATGATCAAAGATGAAAAGTTTTCTAATCAGTGGAAAATTTAATCTTACAAGCAGACTCTACATATAAACATAACTGAATATAACATAAAGAACATATGTTATATCTGTTAGGTATGCAGAAGAATATGCCAATAATTATCGTGTTAAGTCGAATGGTGTCCTTGAACGTTAAATGGACATTTCCCAATGGTCGATGTTTGTTTCACTTGTTAAATATTGTGTAAATGTTGTTTTCTATTTTATGGTACGATGTGGTTTGTTTGGTTAGTATATAAATAGAGTATGTCTGAAATACAATGATTCATAACTCAGAGGCTGTGACTTGCGTTCTAGACTCAACTGGCTGGGCTAGACAGGGAATCGGGACCAGTCAGGGCACTAGGTCGTCCTTACGTGTTTTCCGTGTCACTATAATCCATCGATATAAACGCTGCTTATCAAAACCTGCAGTCACACTCGTTACAACAATATCCACATTGCTTATCACACAAAAGACTGGTACAAGTATAGTGTTATTTACTCCAAAGTAAACACTATGATAATGAATAGAAAATACACTCGTTTATAAATTGATTTTATACACTTCAATTGATAGTTAATTTTATAGTTATATAAATGGAATCGTAATAAAATCCAATGCTGTGGGTCATACTGAACATAGTTCATGTTAATTTAATACAAATTATATCTTAATCTTGAATAAATAATACATGGAATAAACATCATTTTGAATTGAAAAACGGAACTAATACTGAATAAAAATTATAATGAGTTAAAAATGTAATTTTGGTTTTTCATCCCGTCATATCAATAACACCAATGGACAATCAATATAATTACATAGTATCACAATCTTGATGAGTGGTCTTTCAACCATTTCAAGTTGGTAAAGCCTCACTCGTTGAAGTCAATTGGCTTATCTAGCTCACAAACCAACCACATGGACGTGATTGCCTGAAGAAAACGATGGAATTCCCGAGTCTTGGTGTGCGGGAACTGCACCACAGGAGAAGTCTAGTGTACATACATACCGGTGGCAAACAAGTGTTCACCCATGCATACCATAGCATACGTATAGGTACATTCACCCACCTGAGAGTGTAGATAGTCACCAATCACTTCGAACCTATTTGCTTCAATTGATTTTCTCTTACGCATTACATTTATACTATTGGTACAAAAACTTTCGTCCATCCACTTCATGACATATATATAAGCATGAGCATTCTCTCAGGGAGAGCTGATGGTCACTTCTCTCTAGTATTTGTTGTCATATCATTTTTTTATCATTTCTTCGAACTGAAGGATTAAGTTGCTGATTTTATTTGACATAGGCTGGACATTTTATTAGCTTAAGTCCCTTATGCTAACCCATACGCACACCCTTTGCGTATACCTACATACATAAACTACACAAGCTGAAACTCATGCAATCCATATGCATAAGCATATACATCGGGAACCTCGTCACGATCTTTAAAGCCTCGAAAAGTGAACTCCGAGTAGTCTAAATTCAGCATAAGAGTGATGGATTAGTCCGATCACCACCGACCTCTCAAATGAGCTTGAAAGGTTGTCCCCACTATGCAGGGGCGACACGTGGGAGCATTGAGTCAAACTTTGGTACCACAACCCTGGCACATTATTTATCTCCGAGCCTATAAAATATCAAAGGGGGTTATCTGACTTGTAACACCGGTTAGTTTATTATTATTGTCATTATTATTATTAGTAATAATAATAACAATTTCTGGTATCAAAAATGGTCATTATACATTTTTATTCAACCTAATGTAAGCATGAATAGATGACCATATACATTTTAGTGATTGATTCAAAAACTGATTAGATTATATTCAGACTACGAAGTAACATAAAACTTGAATATACATGAAACTCTTAGCTCATTGGTTAACAGATCTAAATGTTGGTTTCTACTTGTGAAATCATTTCCTATCAAAATTTACAACTACAATTTTCTTTTCTTATTTCGTTCGACGAATATGCACTTTGTTTTTTAATTGAATAACATTGATCAGCATCTTTCATTTAATAGTCACATTAGTATATATATATATCAGTCAGAAACAACGTAGAACTTCGTATGTACGTACATCAGTTCGAGTTGCCATGCCACATTAACACAGAGATGCAGTTGTCGATTCCAATCCCATAGTGGTAGAGGTAGTAAAAGTATAAGCAGTTATCGGAAAGATTAGGGTTTGAAGATGTTATTCAAGGAGTATAATCCAGTGAAGTAAATTTGGAAAGAGAAAAAAAGAAAGGGATATGAATAATTCAGAATATTAGAATTTGGGAGAACACAAAGAGTGGATGCACCTGCGCCATTGCAAACGATTTTGAACCATGTCATTCAAGGTTTCTAACCATCGGTTGCTATCGTCTCGCAGATCCCAACCAGGTAGTTTACACCTATCAACATGGTTCAGTTCACTTGTGAGTGACTTCATGAACTTGTGCCATGTTTTGGTCTGGCCGCCCCTAGCTTTCTTCCAACTTACTCCTACATCATAAAACATTGCACGTCGAGGCAGTCGGTGGTTGGGCATACGTAACACGTATTTCAGCCATCTCAACTGATGAAGTTTCACTACTTCATCAATTGATTTTCCATCCTTACCTAGTACCCATTTCCTAACAACTGCATTACTTACTCAGTGGTCCCAGGATATACGAGCAATGCTTTTCAGACACTTATGATTGAATACTAGTAACCTGCGAATATCCTCTACTCTTACCGGCCATGTTTCACTGCCATAAAGTAGGATGGAACGAACTGGTGCGCAGTAAACCCGTCTTTTGGTTGGTAGACGGATATCTCGCCTATTTCATAAATGACGCAAGTTGGCAAAAGCTAGTCGAGCCTTCTGTATCCGTGCTGAGATTTCTTCACATACTAAGTATATATAAGTAGTACATAACACCAGTCGGAAGTGGAATACATGGCAGCAGAAGGCTAAGAAGATCGGGTTGAAGAGAATAGGAAGGGAAATAGAAAAGAATTGTGAACTGGAAGAATCATAAAAAATGTGAAGGATAAATGATGAAAATTTACAAATGGAGTATTTAACGTGTGATTCTCATATTTTACCATGAGATTCTGTAATTTTGTGTATACAAACCAATACTCTCTGTATATGGGTAATTTGATATTTATGTAATGTATACTTTACTGTTGGTTAACAGGGCAACATGTCCTAGAAATGGTAACACTAAACATAAGTCAATAAGTGAAAATGTATCTGTGTGCATAAATATGCTAAGTAATCAGACAAAGCAATACAATAGATTAATATATGAACGTTTCAAGGTGTGAAATGAAATTTAAGTCTTAATTCTCAGTTGGTTTGTTGTTAAATATAAATGGAGAATTGGCTGTTACTCTTTTTCTGTAGTAGTTATTTGAATCAATGTACAGAGATATAAGTCATTTAGATTTCATTTAGATCTCAATGGGTAACCATGATGAATATTGGTCGCATTTTTATCAATGTCCTGTTACGAAGAAATGAAAACTTAAGATCATGTGATATGTGATATCTGTTCAGTATAATAACTGTCTAATTTTAATGCGATATTCATTCAGGATAACATACAGCATTCAGTTTATATTAATTTAGCGTATAACCATTGAAAATGCGGAATCACCGGATATCTGTTCCGTCCTTGTATGGAACTCCTCAGTAATCCACATCCATAACCCCACAACCAGTAGTCTGACCCAGAACATCTGGACTCACACGCGAACGCTTAACACTAAAGACCGCCAAGCCGGGATCCACACCTTTACAAGTCTAGCTTCAGC